AAAAATATAGTAGATGTCAGATATGTAAATTTATATTGTAGAAGTTATGTAAATTCGTATTATATTGTCAATGCGTATCAAAGGAAATAAGGATTTTGTAAACAGATTTATGAGTAGAAAGTATAATTAATTGTATACCAATTTGATAATTGCTGTCCAGTGTATGTTTATATCAAGAATATGTCCAGAATATGTTTTATAGTTTATATTGGTTATATAATAAGTTTATGTCCAGAATATGTTTTAGATCAGGGATTTTTTAGAACTGTTTTGTAAGTGAAAGGTACGTTTTATATTTTTATGATTTCTACAATACTTGTGTTTTTATATGTATGTTATATTCTTTTTTAATGTTTTAGTTGGCTGAAGAGGGGCTTAAGAGCCCGAAACGTGTAAAATTTTCACACATATCAACTAAATAAAGATGAGAAAACCCGCCAAGTGTCTTAATTTATAACACTTTATTGTGTTAGAAGCATAAATATTTATAGCATTTCAATTTTTCTTTCTAATATATTTTAATCAACATATCAGGTAAAAACTAATAAGTAGTGCTCATTTGGGCTAACTCTCATTTTCACAATTTTCATGTGTAATTTTAGATATCAGCTGATGATGTAACAGATGATATAATTTCAGCTGTGGAGGGAGGACACTCCTAGTGGCAGAGGGAGGAATTACAAGAATATGCAAGTCATCACATGTTGTAAAAAATTTAATGTAAAATAAATACAAAATAATAATAATAATATGATAATTTTAACCATATGAAAAAAGTGTCAAAAAGTTTTCTGCTTTAAAAAGAAAACTAATGCATTAAATTTTGATTCTTTTTTCTTCACAGTCATTGTGTTTGTTGCTCTTGTTAAAAAATGTCACTCCTTCATACTGTTAAAGTTTTTAAATTAATGAATCAGGAACAATTTAAATCCTTATATTATTATTTCAGCAACCTAATAGTGCTGTTTTTTCACAAACTTATCACAATGACTTTTGTATATTATAACACTCCTTTTTTATTTTTTTTAAGTACCTTTAACAAAATGCATATCTGACATTCCTTCCATTTTCTGTATTTTGCTACATCTCAGTCTACAAACCTACAAACCTCAGAAGAACTCTAAACAGAAATGGTCCTATGAATGTAATCAAGCATTTAAGAGAGCCAAAGATGCTCTTTCAAACATAACTCATTTAGTACATTCAAAACAAGGCTGTATGTAATGTGTTATGGCTGATACATCAGATATGGTAGTTAAGACAGTCCTTCAGCAGTTGTGCAAAGACTTAAAAAGTAACATAAAAATAGGAGTCATTCATTCTTTTCAAGGAAACTTGCCTCATCAAAAAATGAAATACAGTAGAGCATCGTTTATCCGAAAGAATTCCAGTTGGCAAATTTAAATTTTCGCTAGTACTGTGGCACTGCAATCTTTGGCTATATCTTGGGCTACTCCAATATTTTTTTTTGTTGATGTGTGTTTTTTAGCTGGCAGCACTGACACTGTGTGGTGTTTTTCTGAGGATTGTGTATCATGCTGAATCAAATGTTTTTGATACTAGATTAACTTCTAAAGTATAAATTTTTTTTTTGTTTTTATATTTTTCAATATATTTATTTTGTTTGTAAAAAATAAAGAAATAATTTTTAACGATACAATAGCCACGATTATTATTTTAAAAAGTTTACACGAGGCTTAACATCGACGAAAATTCAACACAAAGCGACACGCAACAGAGAAAAATTTCAACATGAGATAGGTTAATATATTTTTCATACATAATCCGTTATCTGAAAAATAAGTTATCCGAACAACCCCAGTCCCCAAGTGATTCGGATAAATGACGCTCTACTGTATTCAACATTTGACAAAGAATTGCTGGCAGCCATAAAACACTTTAAATGTTTTTTTTTTTTTTAAGAAGGAAGAACATTTATTCTTTGTAAAAACCACAAGCTATTAACTTTCACACTCTTGTCCAAGACTGAACATTCATCCAGATAAAGACAGGAATTAAATTTCATGTTTCAATTTAATCTAAACACTTAACATGCCAAGGGCAAGGACAATAGTATTGCTGACATACTGTTAAGAATGGAATTTCAATAGGAGAGAACAATCCTCAACCTTCATCAAGGTTATCTACTTCCTGAGAAGATGCAAATAAGCTAAATTTTCTCAATACTAAAATGAAATTGTCAATAAAACTTGAAAAGTATGCTATATTCTTCTCAGCTGAGCAAGTCTGCTGTGAAAATTCCAGTGCCATCCCATAACTATTCATTCCTGAAACCCACAAATGCCAAATATTCAATGCTTTCCACTGATTGTCCATCCTGGCATTCAGACAACCAGAAAGTTCATGAAGCATGGCACCTTTGGCCAATTGGTTGCCATAGAGTATCAAAATATAGTAACTTTTCAATGCTAAGTGTCCATTAGCATTGAAAAGTTACCATACTGACAATGACTACAAATATTTCTTTTGAACTACTTCCTTTTCTTTAAGGGATTTGCCTATGTGCTGACATTCATCGGATAGAGGCATTTCCTATAGATTTATAAATAAAAACTGTTGCCCATGCCTTCTACCACAATTAGATTGGAAGATTTGGGAGTACCAAGCACTATCACCACTTATAAAGGAAGAAAATTTAAATCACCACTCTTCCTAAGCTTGCCTAATAGGTTCAACATACAGCCAAACAGTTATATGCAATGCTACAGCAAACAGTCTGGTGAAATAATTGCACCATTAAGTCAAAAATCAATAAGAGCAAGCAAAAACACCAACTGGAGATATTCTATACATACAATACTACTGGAAATAGGAGCTGCATACAAGGGGCATATTGGATACAAATCTGTACAATTGGTATTTGGAACAACCTGTGTCCCTACTAACAGGCTCATATCCACTACTCTGCTTTACAGACAGCTATCTTTGTCTGTCAACTAAATGTTAACTGTTGTAACCTGATGATGTTAACTAATTTGCAACCAACTAAAAATATTACAACTAAATGCTTGTAGCCATGTCTTCATTAGAAAACATGCAAACTTCTTAGTGTTAGAGAATTCCAGTCTGTTGTCTCAAGATCTTGAAATCATTTCACAATTACATTAACAGACAACAATATAATTGCAACTAATTGTTTAAAATCAGCCTATAGAGAAATAGCTGAAAACAATTCAGAATACTGTTATCACCAGCATCCACTCCTACCACCATGGACTGCAATCAAGTAGCCAAGCCAATCCTCAACTACAATCAAATTCATCAAGGCAAACAGTCAAAATGAAAATACACCACTTGTTCAGGACAGCATATGTATTTTTCTATTGACATTAAATGTTCACTAGAGTTTACTATTATGGTAAACTCTAGTGTACTTCTCTGTAGTACCATGTTTATTCTCTTATAATGTTTGATAAAAAAGTCACCATGTTGATAACACAAAAAATTTTCTATATCCTTCACAGAAGATGAACTTCTCTGTTGAGAAACCATATGTGAACTTTTCCTTCTTCCCTAGTGTAGATTCAAGATTGCCAGTACATGTGTAATTCCATTTCTATCATTTTTAATAAAACCATCTTCTCCTTGTTGAGATTAAGAGTTGAATTAAGTTGTTTCATTTTTGGGCTTTCAACACGATTGCAAACTATTCATCAACAATTCTCAACATTTTTGCATATAATTTAAAAAGATACAACTTATTTAGAATTAATTCAACCATTAAAATATTGCTAAAAATTAAACTTATATAAACATGTAAAATATAATTTTACTTTATATATATATATTTTTTAAATGTTAAAACAGAAAATCAAATACAACTACTGTTCAAATATAAATGACCAATAACCTGATTATTTGATATTTGACAACTACTGTTCACAGAACATAATGCAGCAGAATACCTGATTTAAACTTTTCAGACACAAAATCTTTAAGTGATGATACTAATATAGTGAAACCTCGGTATATGACCTTAATCCGTTCCTGGTGTTTGGGCTTATACCGAATAGGACGTATACCAAACCAACCTTTTCCATAAGAAGTAATGCAAAAATGATTAATCCGTTCTCATGTAAAAAAATGGCTGGCTTTAAACACCTTGCTTTCCTGGCTAGTTTCTGCTTGATTTTTCATGAGATCAGCATGTATCCTTTTAACTTTCTCGCAAATAATTTCTTCCGATACGCTGTCGCCGGCACACTGTTTTTCAGTTATCCAAAGCAAAAGCAATTTCTCGACATGATCTAATGTCTTCGATCTCTGTTTAGAAATTGATTTAACCCCTTTCGCAACGTTAGCAAATTTAATAATGTCTTTATTTTTCACGATTGTCGATATCGTCGTTCTCGGAATACGGAATGCAACAGTTAAATCTCGTTAAATCTCGAACACGCGTGCCACCTTCATATTTCTCAACAATCTCTTTTTTCAGTTCCGTTGTGATTCTAGTCATTTTTTTATTTTTCTGTTGCCCTTTTGCAATTCATGATTAATAAAAATAATAAAATGTTACTTACAAATTAAAATCAGAAGAAATTTAACAAAGTTATAAACCGTAGCACCGCGAACGTCTAGTCTAGTGTAGTACACCGATAGTGCTACTTGTTCATAGATGGCGCGTATAATTGAATTAAGTCGTATACCGAACAAAAGTCGTATACCGAGCAAAATTTGTTTCGTCCAAACAGGACGTATTCCGAATTGGACGTATTCTAAAGCAGACGTATACCGAGGTTCCACTGTATTTGATATAAACTAAAGCCACTCAGCATTCTTCTTAAGCCAGTTTTAGCTAGTTACAATTTAGTTTATTTATTTAATATTATTATTTTCAAATAATCTGACTATGAATTAATATACTATTAAGTGTTTTAGTATGAGTATTACTTTATTGTCATTAACTGAGAAAATTTTAAATAGCAATGAGCTAACATTGCAGGTTAACAACTTGAAATTTTTTCCTGGGGAAAATATTACAAGTGATGATTTATTACTCTGAAAATCTCAGAACATTAAAGAAATAAAATTAATATGTTCCTTTTTTATTATTCTTGAAGGAAAAAAAAAAACAGATAATGAAAGTGTCAACGAAAATTGCTTTCAGCTTAAAAACCAATTTCTGAACAACACCATAAGATTTTAAACAATTTGATATTAAATAATAATTCTTCATCAAATTTCACATTTAGATAAAATCCATCCAAAACTGGGTTGTAAAAACTATTTTCTCTCCCTAATATCAAAACCCTTTAATCTATAGACAAAGATTTACTTTGTTTAGGATCACTATTTATTATTACAACTATCACTTGTACTGGCAAATGCACTAATATTTAAAAGTGATAATAAAAAATTAATTTTTAAAGTGGTTTAAATATACAGTATTATATATTTAGTATATCATTTATATCTGATATTTGGTACTAACAAGGAGGCTTTGGGGAAACGGATTTTGATGATCTTTGGTGTAGAGGTAGTACATCATGTAAGTGTACTACCTGTAAAATACTAAAGTGCAATACAGTCGACCCCCCTATAATTACGGTCCCTACAGTTACGATTCCTATAAAACTACGAAAAAATTGCTACCGGTATCCGTAAAAAATAGTAAAAGTTCCCTATAAACACCTCAAACGTCATCGGGAAGCCGAACTACTTTCCCGCCGTCCGTAGCGCCACGCTACGGAGAGATTTCTATCGTCTGGACAGTATTATATAAATTATATATAAATTAGGTACTGTACATATAATTATATATTAATTATATATAAATTAGGTACTGTATATATAATTATATATTAACTTATTGTAACTTTGTTATAATTAAATATATAATTTCCGCCGTCTAGCGTGGCGCCACGCTACGGAGATTTTTACGCTAACTATCGTCTGTCAGTATGTAAATTAGGTACCGTAAGTCTAATACAGTACTGTAATTTTATACATTTCTTGT